TATAGTGTTTGAAGTTTTACCACAAACATGTATTTTATAATTTTTAATTATATAATTTTAAAATAAATAAATGAGGATATTGAATTAAATGATTTCTGAAATCTATGACTTCAGCCCTAACACACTGTGATTTAATTAATTCTGGCTTAGAAATAAATGGAAAATTTAGGTTGGTCACAGAGGCTCACACCTATAATCCCAACACTTTGGGAGGCTGAAGCAGGAGGATTGCTTGAGCTCAAGAGTTTGAGACCAGCCTGGGCAACATGGTAAAACCCTGTCTTTACATAAAATACAAAAATCAGCTGGGCATGGTGGCGCGTGCCTGTGGTCCCAGATACTTAGGTGGCTGAGGTGGGAGGATTGCTTGAGCCCAGTAGGTTGAGGCTGCAATGAGCCATGATGGTGCCATCGCACTCCAGATTGGATGACACAATGAAACTGTCTCTTAAGAAAAGAAAAGAAAATTTAAGCTACCAAAGTTGTATTCATACCACAAATTCCTTTAAGAAGGAAAAGAAAAAGGGAAAGGTATTACAATTCTTTAAGCCCCTGCTATATGCTTGTCCATGTGGTGTAGATTTTTGCACTGATCCTCACAGCACCTTATTTTTATGTTAGATTAACTGAAGCTCGGAGAGTGGCCTGACCAAGATCATTGGCTCAGAAAGGGAAGGAGCCAGGATTCACACTTGAATCAGTCTGTGGGAAAGATTATTGCTGCTCTCTACAGCAGATGTTTTGTAGTTTCATGAGTTGATGGAGAAACTCTGGTTTACCTTATAAACTTCAAGGCAGACAGCAAGAGGCCATGGTGGAGGAGCAACTGTCCAGTAGCATAACCATCATAACCCTGCAGGAAGTAAAATTGCTGAGATGTGGTGGATGCTTATTCTGCACCAGGTCCTGCATTCATATCACACTTAACCCTCACAGCAACCTTAAGAGGGAGGTATCATGTTGTTACCATCTTGCAAATGAGGATGCAGGCTCAGCAAAGACAGAAAAGTTGCTCAAAGTCACATATACAGAAAGTGGTGGAGGTATCGGTCTGACTCCTCATCCTATGTTAATTACTGTATACATAGACTAGTGTAGAAATTATTTGCTACTAGCTGGACTTTGAAAAAAGAACCTTAAAACTGTAAGATGGTAGGTGTTTAAGCAATTCATAGGCTAATGCTCAGAGTCAGAGATAAGGTTATTTGCTTACTTTGATACGGAATGGTTTGCAATATTTCAACACTGGAGTACAGTATATGAAGAACAATCACACGTCGATTGATGTAGCTAAGGTATCAATTAGAGTCTAAGTGCACATGCAGGCATGTCTGACAGACTGGGAGGGCAAGTAATCCAAACACACTGAAGACCATTTGCCTGAAGACCTCAGGGTATCTCATGAGATAACTCATGTTAAGAGAAGGAATGGGACATAAGCTAGACTCAGTACAACAGTTTCAGTCATTATTATAGACTGGTTCTCACAAAAGCATTGACTGACTTTCAGATTGGTTCCATGGCACAGCCCCGCACTAGACTAAAGGGCGTAGTTTTCAAAACCTGAAAGAATAGTTTAATAAAACTCAGTAACTCAGTTCAACACTGGGGTAGAACAGCACTATCCTGCAAGCCCTCTAACCTGTAACTCAAACAGAAAACATTCCGCTGCCAGTTTCTTTACTAAAACATAGCAAGAGTCCAGCTTCCAACAAGTTCCTCATCTCCATCTGAGACCACCTGTGCCTGGATTTCATTGTGCATATCATTATTAGCCTTTTGGTCAAAGCCATTCAACAAGTCTCTAGGAAGTTCCAAAATTTCCCACATTTTCCTGTCTTCTGAGCCCTCCAAAGTGTTGCAACCTCTGCCTGTTATCTGGTTCCAAAGTTGCTTCCACATTTTCAGGTATCTTTTCAGCAGTGCCCCACTCTACTGGTGCCAGTTTACTCTATTAGTTCATTTTCACGCTGCGGATAAAAACATACCCAAGAATGGGCAATTTACAAAAGAAAGAAGTTTATTGAACTTACAGTTCCACGTGGCTTGGGAGGCCTGAAAGGCTGTCTCCAATGGCGGCAGCCAAGAAAAGAGAGCGTGCGCAGGGAAACTTCTGTTTTTAAAACCATCAGATCGGCCGGGCACGGTGGCTCAAGCCTGTAATCCCAGCACTTTAGGAGGCCGAGACGGGTGGATCACAAGGTCAGGAGATCAAGACCATCCTGGCTAACACGGTGAAACCCCGTCTCTACTAAAAAATACAAAAAAACTAGCCGGGCAAGGTGGCGGGCACCTGTAGTCCCAGCTACTCGGGAGGCTGAGGCAGGAGAACGGCGTGAACCTGGGAGGTGGAGCTTGCAGTGAGCTGAGATCCGGCCACTGCCCTCCAGCCTGGGCGACAGAGCGAGACTCCGTCTCAGAAAAAAAAAAAAAAAAAAAAAAAATCAGATCTCTCATGAGACTTATTCACTATCATGAGAACTGCATGGGAAAGACCTGCTCCCATGATTCAATTACCTCCCACCAGATTCCTCCAATGACTCCTGGGAATTGTGGGAGCTATAATGCAAGATAAGATTTGGGTGAGGACACAGCCAAACCATATCAAAGCCCAAGGGCTCTACAGAAGAAATGCAAGAGGACCATGCGTCCCTTGAAAAGTTATGAAATTTTGCATGGATATGCAAATGTACGTATTTCTGAGGAGACAGTCTTGTTTTTGTCAGCTTCTTAAAACATTATGTAACTTAAAAATGTTTAGAAACAATTGTTGGAATTTTGATCTTTATGTATTCTAAAGCCAAATAAATGTGAGGAAAAATATATTTCAGTGCATACATACTACCAGGGATACTCACGAACTGTACTGTGGGCATAAATTGGGTCACATTAATAGTACATTCTGACACTTGAATCCTCACTTGAACCAGGATTTGTAGAAGCTCTAAACTATTTTTTTTACTATTTCATTAATTTTTGAGAGGAATAATTTCTCATGTGCAAATGGAGTTAATCCTTGATAGTTTGACCTCATATCTAAAAAAGGAAGGAAAACGTTATTGTTTTACACATCATGGTTCAAATGAAATGTAAAAGGGACTGACTTACTAAGTCAATTTGAGGTGAGCTTTACTGGGTACCTTGTATAAAGGGTGGAAGTTTCTGAGGCTGATCTTGACATGTATTCTTTTCTCCCACCTCTTTCCTTCAGGTTAGGGAATGTTTTTGTTTTTAAAGTTTCAGGCTTTCCTCCCATTTCTTTTATAATGTTTCTGATGCTTTCCATGGGCTAGGGATTGCTAAGGTGGTAAGGGTGTTGTAAAATTCTGCAGTGTGGAAGAACTGCACTTATTTAATATTTGCTCAAAATGTCACTCTTTGAGCTGACTTGGGATGTGACTTTGCCTTCTTCCAAAATGACAGTTATGACCTTATAAAGTTACCCAGGAATCTGAGAGCCAAACTTAATTATATTTTCTCTGCAATATGTTCAGTACCCAAGGAGGCTGGCCGCAGCTGCAGAAAGCTAAAAAATAAAAAGGAATGGGTGGGGTTTGGGTCGGGGATTGAACCAATCAGTTTATTGCCATAAACTCTCTCCTAAAAAAGTCTCTACAGTATTCACAAGCATATTAATCTAACATGGGAGTTGATCTTACCTGAACATATTACAGCAAAGTTGAGTAGATGGTATCTGCCAGACTCATAATGACATCATTGGGAATTACTCTGAATTTTAAATCTAGAAGATAACTTTTTAAAAAGACAGTTCACAGAGATTGATGTAATTGCTTCCTGATAATAATAGGCTTCAACTTTGATGGAGAAGAGGACATCGAAGTATTATATATTTTCCCAAGTAGTCATGACACTATACAGCAAATTAAAATATCTGAATCTCAGTTCTGGCCTTGCCACAATCTAGCTAGGCAAAGCAAGTCATTTAACGTGTCTTCATATTTCTGAAACTGAAAGCTGAATGATATCTTTTTTTTCTGGCTATATAACATTTACGAATCCTAAAATGTCAGTGATGGGAGTTCACATTCTTTTCTGAAATCTCATCTTGCCTACCTTGAGGGAGAACTCATGGGGTACTGAAGACACAGGGCTCTGCAGAGTGTTGGATAAGTGTTTTCTCTGCTCTTCTAATTAGGTCAAATGGCTCCTCTAGCAGGCATCAGACTGTGTTAGTGACGTTCACACTGGTCCAGATAAGGACACAGGCTTACCTCTTCACACCCATGCAACCAGCCCAGGGTGGAGGAGGCTGAGTCATGTGGGAAGATATGTTCTCACAGACTCATCTTTCCGGTTTCAGCATCTGGCTCCTTCACCCACCACATTCCAAAGTCTGCATATTGGTGTGGCTGCTGTTAGCTCAGCCCTGAAGAATTGATATAATAGAGAAGTATTTCACTTTAAGTAATTTTTTTTTAAACTTTTAACACATTCTTTACTTAAAGTGACAAATAAATCAACCCTCCTGGTCTACTCAATCATTAGTACGCTAAGGAATTGCTCACATTTGCCTCACAGTCAGTTGAACTGGGACATTTAGTTCATGAAAATAACTAGGCTGCAACCCATTATTTTAAACAATGCTGACAATGTATTTACTAGACAATCCATCTAATCAATATCCCAGCAATTAACTAGTGATTACAACTTAAATTAAAAATTTTGTGTATATCTATTTAATTGAACTAGAAAGAAATGGGCTAAACATGGAAGATTTATTTTCTTATAATCAATGTTCTCACCTATCCCTAATAATGGAAAATGTCCATAAAATTTTAGATATTTTAAATAAAAGGACTTATCACAACACTTATCTTAACCAAATAACAGTGATCGTTGAAGACCCAGAATATGACTATAGAAACTTTCAGTGCTTTCTGTAGACTCCATCTTTTGCTATCTAAGAAAGAAAGATAAAAACTAGAAGTGGAAAGAAAGAGGTTCCCTATAGTCCTTACTACCTGGTGCTAAAGTACAGGGGTTTTAATGGATTGTACCAAATGCACAAAACTCCAGGTCACATCAAAGAAAGTTCTACACACCTGGAAGTTGAAGGATCAGGGATTACAAGTTGTGTGAGGGAAAAATGGGAGGAGCCAGATAGTATTGGGACATCCTAGGCAATGTTTCCAGCCCACTTTGTGTTCTCCCTTCCCTATCATCTAAGCTTGCTTAATTTGCTTCAGAATTGGAAGAAGGAATTGCAGCAGAAAAATATGTGAAAAAGTTTTTAAACCTACAGATTCTTCTTACTTTAGAAATAGTTGTTACATTGGCAGGAAAAAATAAATGCAGATGTTGGACCATGTTGGAAACCTTGTCAAGAGAGTGGATTGTCTTACACAGAATGGAGATGTGGCTTCTGATTCTGGTGGCGTATATGTTCCAGAGAAATGTGAATTCGGTACATATGCCAACTAAAGCTGTGGACCCAGAAGCATTCATGAATATTGTAAGTTGGGATTTTTGGGAAATGAGATATTTAACATGTTAACATTTGTATCTGTGTATCATTTACATTACGTATTATATTTATACATGGTGGTGATTCATACTAGAAGAGCATAGTGATGAAGTAGCAAATTGTACTGGCAAGAATGCTAAACTGGATGTCAGTAGACCTGGGGTCTCCTCAAACAAATTTAGTAAACTTGGGCAAATGACTTAATCTCTTTGGGCTTCAAACACAATTTAACTTTTCCTTGAACACTTTGGTTCATTGTGTGAGTGGAGAAATAATTAAGGCCTTTTAAGTTAACCCCAGTCCCTTGATTATTTTCATTTTGTCTGTACTTTTTATTCTTTTTTTCCATATTGTAAAGGCATCATCCTTTGCTTCTTGCTATCAGGGCACCCACTTCTAGTAGTATCTTATACCATTCTAATCTACTCTTTTTATCCTGTTTCTGGACTGGTACTTTGCTGAATAGCAATAAAAGGACCCCGAGTTAGTGCTACAGAGAACCTCCTACAAGTAAAATGCATAAATGACAATACATCTCTTTAGGTTTCCCAGGATTTATTTATTTATTTATTTATTTATTTATTTATTTATTTGGTAGCTTTTCAAATTCTAAGCTGGGTTTCAGTAATGGTCACCCTATGGTAACACTTATCCCATAGCAGGGATTGTGACACAAGGTGCAGAGAGACTGTTCTATTTCGATTTCACTACCCTGTGCAATAGATAAGATCATTCACATATTTCAAATCCAGATACTGAGATTAAAGAGGTTAAACAAGTTGAACAAGGCCACACCAATGTAATAGCATAGCTACTATTTAAATTCAGGACTGCCTACACACAAAGTTTATAATTATAAATACTATGCAATAAATCCTCTCTTAGTGAGAAAGAGGAGAGGCTACCTCCAGATGAGTAAGATGATCTTGTGCAATGTCCATCTTCCACAGATTTATCTAACAAACTCTCAGGAAATGGAACTTTAACATATACTTATACTGATTTAAGACCCTTTCTACAGAAGCTTCCTTACATGGGTTCAAAAACTGACAGGCCATAGAAATATTCTGTATCTGCATGGTGCTGAGTATCAGGTTTCTTTTGACCATTCCAATGATTAGGTGGTTTGTCTAGGTAGTTAGCACATTGGTGTCAGTCCTCAGGAGTCATCCTTCTGGCCCTGAGACTGTCCCACTTGAATTCCTCTGGTTTGGAGGTGAGGGGAATTTTTGTAGTGGCAGACAGAGATGATCTTCCTGGGCTCCACCCACTGGGTGTAACCAGCACCTACACACTATTGGGGCTTCAGGAGTCTGTAGACTAAAGCCCACTGAATTAGGCTCTGCCATTAAGCTACTATGCCTGGAAAAAACAAAGTAAAATAGAAAATTCACACGATTGGTGTAAATTCAACAAAACAGAATAAAAGTAGTTGCGAGTTTGAACTGGTTCTGAGGTGGGAGACGGGCAGGACTTACTTTCTGGTCCCAACAGGACACAGCGAATAAACAAGCACAAACTAGCAGGTGGTGAAAAAAACCAGCGAGAACCAGCAGGTGGCCTGGAAGGCATCCTCTAGTTGCCCTGGCTGCTCATTAGCATGAGACACTCCCACCAGCACCATGACAGTTTACAAATGCCATAGCAATGACCCACAAGTTACTATCCCTTTCCATGGCAACGGCCCGGAAGTTACTGCCCCTTTTCTAGACTTTCTGAATAATCTGCCCTTTAATTTGCATGAAATTTAAAGTAGTTGTAAGTGGACAGAACTACAGCTGCCAATAGCCCATGCACTACTGACTCTGGGAGCACTGCCTATGAGTTAGCCCTGCTTTTCAAGGAGCAGTACCATTCAGTAAAAGATTACTGTCTAATATTACCAGCTTGCCCTTGAATTATTTCCTGGGCGAAGCCAAGAGCCTTCCCAGGGTAAAGTCCCAAGTTTGGAGCTCACCTGTCCTGCATAGATTTGACTCTGTATACTCATGTAATATGGATTATGGTTTGTCTTATACTTGGATAAATAACTGGCTTTATGCATGTATTTTTTAAGCAAGTGTTTACTGAGCACCTACTAGGTTCATGATATTGTGCTATGCACTAAGGTTAGAGAGATTTAAGAATATTAAAAGCCCTGACTTTATGGAGCTTATAGTCCAGCAGGAAGGACAGATCCTCAATTAATCATTATAAGAGCAATGAGATAAAAGAAGAAAACATAAAACAAGGGGAACTAATGCAGAAAGCTTAGGAAAGCTTTGCTGAAGAAAGGTTTCAAAGCCTGAAATCTGAAAGAGAAATAGCAGTTACTTGAGAGGGTGGTAGCAACAATATCAGCACATAGGACAGCTAGAGCAGCTAAGAACATGCCAGATTCAAGGAGCTGAAAGCAACCTATATCTGGATGGTCTTTTAAACATTGACTTTTTTATACTATTACAAAAGCAATATATGCTTATTATAGGAAATTTTAGAAATACAAAAGAAGGCAATAGTCACCAATGTACTCTGCACCCAGAACGGCTTTGTCATGCCTTTATCTTCATTCTAAGTCTGTGAGGTTTTGTTTTCTTAAAAAGAAATGTCACGTACAATTTACTATTTTCCAACATTTTTTTCTACTTAACAGTGTATATCATGAAGAATTTCCTAATGTTTTAAATATCCTTCCACAACATCATTTCACCTTGCTGCATTATGTTCCATTTTTTTGAATAAATATTTGCCCCAGGTTGGATTCTCTGGGGGACAGACTCTGAGGCAGAATTCATACAAAAATGTTTTTTAAGGAGAATCATCATCATCATCACCTGTAGAAAGGAAGTAGAGAATCAGGAGTAAAGAAAGAAAGAAATCAAATTGTGATACGGACTTCAAAACAGCCTCACTCAACTCCATTAGGAGCTCTGGAGCTAAAACTGCTCTTCAGAGATGTCCTACGTTGGGCTGAGATGACCAGGCCTTTAGACCACAAACAGGTCAGTCCCTGGATGTGGCAGGAAGGGATGTGAATTTGGAGGAAGTGGCTTTCTACAGCTGAGGCCATTCCTACAGAAGATGACAGCCAAGTGTTATCTGCTGACCGCACTTCTAGTGCATGGGACCAGTCATTTATTATCCTGCATAAACTTTCCTGCCAAGTATAGCATGTGGACCATCTTGCCACCTATAGACAACATTTGCAGCATTTGTAGTTCCTTTTCTTCTCAGATGTCCACGTCCCGATCCCTACCTCCTTGGCTCTTTTGAGCAACTTCTATTCAACCTCAAGGCCCAGTCAAATTCTTCCTCCACAAGACATTGCCTGTCCAGCCCTGCTCATTTTGCTCCTCCTGCTCAGAATTCCTTTGCTCCTTCCTCCACTCTCATCCTTCACCCTTCATCTGATACATTACACCTATCCTGTCAATAACGACTTGTCAGATTTCCTCCATTCTCATGTTTTCATATTATATATATCTTATCTACCCAAATAGTTGACAACAGTGGTTCCTGAAGGATAGTTGTCAGATCAGCAGCATCTGCTTTGCCTAGGAACTTGTATGTCAATTTTTTGGGTTCAGCCCAGATCTGCTGTATCAGACTGTGAGTGGGGTCCCACAATTTGTGTTTTAACAAACCCTCTAAGTAATTCTGATGCATGCTAAAATTTGAGATACTTCTACAATTTTTTTTTTTCTTTGAAATGGAGTCTCACTCTGTTGCCAGTCTGGAGTGCAGTGGCGTGATCTCAGCTCACTGCAACCTCCGCCTCCCAGGTTCAAGCAATTCCCCTTCCTCAGCCTCTCGAGTAGCTAGGATTACAGGCATGCACCACCACGCTGGTTTTTTTTTTTTGTTTGTTTGTTTTGTTTTGTTTTGTTTTGTTTTAGTAGAAATAGTGTTTCACCATGTTGGTCAGGATGATCTCAATCTCCTGACCTCATGATGTGCCCACCTCAGCTTCCCAAAGTGCTGGGATTACAGGTGTGAGCCACCGCGCCTGGCCTATAAAATGTTAAGGTTAAGTAGACAATAGTGTCTCACATACATGCATACATATACACTGCATTACATAATACTTGGTTAATTGAGTTTTAATTATACTGGTAGTTAATGCTTATTGAGTTCCTACTATGTCCTGGGGATTACAGTTAGTGTTATGTGTGCATTATCTTTTTGCCTTTATTGCAACAGTCCCATGGACTATGAACCATTAGAATGCCTAATTTACAGATGAGTGAACTGAAGCATAGGAACAGTTTAACTAAATTTCTCAAGATTATACAGCTAGTTCATATATTAGTGTTAGAACCAGGGTTAAAACTCAGACAGTGGGACCTGGGAGCTTTCTCCTAATGACTATGCTTTTTTGGCCTATATTCTACCTGGGCATGTGATGCCTGGCCGCCTTCTCTCTTGCTCTTTTTTAAAGCAGCCCCTAATGCAAATGGTTCTTTCCTTCTCTGCGTTATAACAATGGGCAAGAATAGTGAGGATGCTTAGAAGATATTTGCAGCTGCAAATTTTCCAGAGTGTCTACATGTAACTACCATGTAGAATAAGGATTCTTAACCAGGGGTTCGTATGTAGGCAACAAGATATCTGAAACTCCTGAAATTGAATGTAAAACCATGTTTTCGTATCCATTGTATATCCATTTTTATAGTTCTCCTCAAATTCACAGAGGGAACTTTAACCTGAAAATGTTAGGAATCAATGCTCTTGAGTCTGTGATTTTAGAACTGGAAAGAACCTTAGGAAATGCATGACCCAGGAATGTTCATAAGTTGTCCTGGAACAGGTGTCCCACTGGCTGCTTTAGAACCACCTGATCTGTAACCTGAAGTGGGCTCAAGACTTGGTATGTTGCAATGCCCAGATGATTCTGATGAACAAGGTTTTGGAATCCGGGTTCTGGTCCAGTGGTTCTCAAACATTAGGGTACATCACAATTCCCTAAAGAGCTTGAGACACAAACTGCTGGGCCCAATCCTCCGAGTTCCTGATTCAGTAGGTTTGGTTGGAACCTGATAATTTGCATATCTGACAGATTAGTCCAAGTGATGCTGATGCCTTTGTCCCAGGGCCCATACTTGGAGAACCATAATTCTAGTCCAGTTTCCATATTAAGACAAAGAAAGTAAGGACTAGAGAGGGTTGGCAGATTTTTCTAAGGTAACATGATTAGCTTGGGAAAAGCAAGGACTTTGTGTTTTACAGCATCAAGGAATCTACTCTTACTTTTGGATCATTGAGAACATAGCCACAGAGAACTGAACTCAAAAGAGATTGTGCTTTTTCCATAGAGCGAAATCATCCAACATCAAGGCTATCCCTGTGAGGAATATGAAGTCACAACTGAAGATGGGTATATCCTTTCTGTTAACCGGATTCCTCAAGGCCTAGCGCAACCTAAGAAGACAGGTATGGGTCACCCCATGTCACTGCAACACAGCAGTCTTCTCTGCAGTCACGACCTCCTTGTGATTTGAATGTAGAAGAGAGCCTGGGTTTTTAGTGCAGACTGACGTCCATTGTTCAGGTCAAAGGATGGTGTCAGTTTCCCCATAGTCTCCATCACCACCACCATATCACTCCCCACTGCCACTAATTATCTCAATTAAACATAGTGTTTGCTTTTCAAAACACACCTTCAAGAAAAGTTCATTTCTTGACTTATTTTAGCACTTAATTCATTCCCCAAAACCCCTCCTATGTAGACATTCTAGAATATTTACTGACATTTCCTTGAACAGACCATACCAACCTCTGCTTATGAAGAATTCAAGCTTTATTATGGTACCTGGTGCCTGCTCCTATACTCTGTATTCCTCATCTAAAGAGCACTTGAAATATTTAAGATGTTGCCTAGCTTTTTACTAAGGGTTTTGAAAAACAAAAGTTCTATACGTACATTTTATTTTATTATTTTATTTTATTTTGAGGTAGAGTTTCGCTCTTGTTGCCTAGGCTGGAGTGCAGTGGTGCGATCTCAGCTCACCGCAACCTCTGCCTCCCGGGTTCAAGCAATTCTCCTGCTTCAGCCTCCCCAGTAACTGCGATTACAGGCATGCGCCACCACGCCCGATTAATTTTTGTATTTTTAGTAGAGACAGGGTTTCTCCGTGTTGGTCAGGCTGGTCCCGAAATCCCGACCTCAGGTGGTCTGCCTGCCTCAGCCTCCCAAAGTGCTGGAATTACAGGCGTGAGCTACCGCACGTGGCCTATATGTACATTTTAAATGTTTGATATATGTTTCCGTAGTTCATACAATTCCACCCTTTTGTATGTGGGATTTTCAGCTATTGTTATCTTTTTAAAAATTTGTCTTCATTACTAAAACATGAATATTTTTCATTCTATTTGGCTGGATTCTTTTTAATACTAGCAGTAGGTTTATAGTAGCAACTATATTGTCTTTTATGTGTACAGATAATATCATGTCTTGGGTTATTTTGATATGCCAGATACACTGATAAGTGCTTTATTTGTATTAGTCTCATTTAATTTTCACAATTACCCTAAGAAACTGCTACTCATATATGTTAAGTAACTTACCCAAAAAGTCTGTGCTAGTGCTTGCTAGTGAGTTGTAAAACCTGCACTCAAATCAAATCTGTCTCTCTGCCATTATAGCCCATGTTCTTAACTAGGACCAGAAAATGCTGGACAAATGCTATTAGGCTTTGGTGTAAAGAAACTTTGGGGTTCTGTTTTACTCTAATTTGTACTTGTGTAGCTTTTTGAAAACCACCTTTTTTTTTCCTTACGAACTGCACAGCTGTGCCTTACAAATGTCTAGCATGTACCTTAAGCATCGTTGAACTTAAATTTCTCCCTCTGGACCACTGTTTCATCAGATGTCTATGCAGTTTGCCTTGGTCCTTCTTTTGGCTGACTTTATCAGAGTTCTTCCCTGGCCACCCTATTCAAAATTGCAGCTCTTTGCTACCTATTGAGTTCTAGCCCCTTACCCTGCTTACCTTTCCATATCGCACTTACCATCACCTGATATAATAGGTATTTTCATGTTTGTCTATCGTCTGTCTCCCCCCAATCAAAGGGTAAACTCAATGAGAGCAGAGACATCATTTGCTTTGCTCAAGGCTAGAACCAGTAACTAAATGAGTGCTGAGCACATTCTGGTGCTAATAAATATTTGTGGGATGAATTATAGATTTTGTATAAATAAATGAAGAGCCTGGGGACATGGCCCCACGAATCCCAGGGGAATGGGCAAAGCACAGTTCTTCCAAGCAATCAAGTGACTTAGCAATTATTAGGCATGGGGGTCATCTGCAGCCTCTATTCATGGATGGAATTTGTTTTCTTACATCCTGTTGATTCAGGATGTTCACACATTGCCCAGGTGTTTGAGGTTCAAGGAATCCAGCTCCTTGGTCCAGCTGGTGCAGAATACTTCTCACTAGTGGCCAGTGTTGTTGGCATGTGCCTCTTCAGAGGCAATCTCCCGTATCAAAAAAGAAGGTTTTTTTCACCAACTTTTCAAAAAGAGAGCCAATGAAATTCATACTGAAAACAACTGAAAAATGTTTACTGAAAAGCTTATAGCTTGTGGAAGCGGCCTTTTTATCTTTATCAAAGGATCTTAGTTGGCTTCAATATTGAGAAAGAAAATAGGCTGGGCCATCCTCAGAAATGACAGCTGTGTAGCCCTTACATACTCAGCCTGCTGGCTGTAATTTAAATAGAAGACCTAGGGGATGTTTGAAATGATATAAATGAGCCAGTCCTCTTGTTAGGGGAATCACAAGAACAAACTGTATGGCTAAGTAGAACCAAGGAGACCGTAACCATGGGAAATGCCCTAAAGACTCTCAAGGGGAGCGTTGATCACCTTGGTGTGAGTGTCCTGTGTTAACACAGCTGAGGTCACCTCCCTGAGAGCTAAGAGGATGAACTAAATGACCAGACATCGAGGAAAACCTAAAATAACACCGAGTTCCTGTCTCCTGGCCCTTCACTAACAGTCCACAGTGACCTTAACATTCTCTCCCTTGAGAGATAAAATGAGGCAAATAGAATTCATGAAGACTGTCAAGATGCTGGATGAGTTTGGTGTAGAAGGGCTTTTGTCCTACAGGGAGACTGCAAGTGTGTTTGGTACCCCTTTACAACAATAATAACAAGAGCTACCCATCTGATCTGAGGTTGGGCAGCATGCTGAGTGTTTAATGCACAGTACCTCATTTACCCTTCCCCTGCCAAAATCCTGTGAGGTGGGCAATTGTCCTCATTTTGCTAATGAGGACGCTGAAGCTCAGAAAGTCACTTGCTTTAGAGAATTATAACAATAATAATGAAAGCAATAAAGCTGTTTTTACTACAGGTGTCTTCTAAGCCATATTGTGGTATGGGTATTGCACTCATGATTTGATTTAATTCTCACAAGTCCTGTTGAGGGCATGATGTATTTTTTCCTCCTAATAGGGCAGCACTTTATTAATCTTTCAGTCAAATGTGCTAATGACAAAATTATATATATGCCTTAATTTATTGAACACGTTAGAATTCTTAAAACCCTTCATCCTTCTCTATTCTCTACTGATATTCTTGTAATTCTTTATTTTGATGTAATTTCCAATTTATGGAAAAGTTCTGGGAACAGTACAAGGGACTTCCATATACCGTTTGCCCTGATTTACCAAGTGTTTACAGTTTTACCTCATTTATTTTATCATTATCTCTCCCCCATCTCTTACGTGTATCTTAATGCTTTTTCCAAAACCTTTGATGGTAAATTTGAGACATACATCATGCCTATTTGCCCCTAAGTAACTTCAGCGAGTATTTTCCAAGAACAAGAGTATTCTCTTCTATAACTGCAATACATTTATCAAAGTTAGAAAACAAACATTGATTGACATTAGTATTTAATTCATAGTCTATAGTCAAATTTTGTCAATTGTCCGAAAGTCCTTTATAGCTGTTTTCCCTCCTCCGGTTTATAATCTAATCCGGGATCATTTACTACATTTGGCCATCAAGTCTGTCTCCTTCATAAACAATTCCTAAGGTTTTGTCTTTTTGATTTTTGCATTTTTGAAGAGTTTTGGACAGGGATTTAATTTGCTTTATCTGATGTTTCTTCATGGTGTGATTTAAGTTATACGTTTTTGGAAAACACAAAAGTGAAGTCATATCTTTCTTGGTTATGAAGCAAATAATGTTGGCTTGTTCCAATACTGATAATAACTAATGACTTTGTTAAGGTGGTATCTGCCAGGTTTTTCTAAAGTTAGTATTTTTCCTTTTGTAATTAACAAATAAGTTATAGGAAGATATTTTCAGGATACGTAATATTCTGTCTTTAAACTTTTACTCACTAATTTTAACATTCACTGATAATTTCAATCTTTCTGAATTTGTTAGTTGGTATTATACTGTAAATCAATGTTTTGTATTTACTAAATGGCATTCTGTAAATAAGAGCTATTCCTTCCAACTATTTATTTGTTCATTTATTTATTGGTCTCTACATGGACTTGAGCATTCTTATTTAATGGGATATAATTTTTTATTATTTATTTGATGCTCAATATTTTTGTATTTGAACAGTGGGAGTTCCTTCAAGCTGGCTTGTGGGTCCTTTTGACAAGGTCTCTTAATTACTAAACCATATATATATATGGAAAAGTTCTGGGAATAGTACAAGGGACTTCCATATACCGTTGGCCTTGATTTACCAATTGTTTACAGTTTTACCTCATTTATTTTATCATTATCTCTCCCCCATCTCTTACGTGTATCTTAACGCTTTTTCCAAAACCTTTGATGGTAAATTTATTCAATTTATATTCAAACAATTGAATATAAATATTATATTCAATTATTTATTTAACTCATTGAGCACCTACTACTTGAAAGTAAATATGCTGGTGTCATAAGGACCTTAATATATATATATAGAGAGAGAGAGTGTGTGTATATGGTGTGTATATATGTTATATATATGGTGTGTGTATATATATGGTATATATATACCTTAATAATCATACTATACCATCTACTGGGGCACTTTCAATATTTCTGAAGAGCCCAGACAAGTCTGATAATAATTATACAAAACTAACAACAGAAGTTAAATTTTATAGATTCTTTTTCTACCAGGCAACATGCCATCCATTCCTTGTGCTCTATTTTATTAAAGCATAACACAAATCTTATTTTACTGATGAAGAAATCAAGACACACAACAAAGGTTGTGTAATTGACCACGATAACTAAGCTAGCAAGCAGCTGAATCAAGATCTGAACACAGGTTTGTTTGATCTGAAAGCTCTTATTCATTACTGGATAACAAGAAAGGGCGAGAACATTTCACACAGTTGAATTTGTCTCTTTTTGCAGGTTCCAGGCCTGTGGTGTTACTGCAGCATGGCCTCGTTGGAGGCGCTAGCAACTGGATTTCCAACCTGCCCAATAATAGCCTGGGCTTCATTCTGGCAGATGCTGGTTTTGACGTGTGGATGGGGAACAGCAGGGGAAATGCCTGGTCTCGAAAACACAAGACCCTCTCCATAGACCAAGATGAATTCTGGGCTTTCAGGTACATGAAAATCTTGCGAATGAAGGTAGACATGTCTGCCTTTCAAAAAAATGGGTAAAAAAATATGGCTTCTAGTATTTGGTTGAATTATTTTGGTTGAGTCATCATTATCCTAACATGATATCCCCCAATTTTCTTGATTAACTAGTGATTCCTTGATTGAAGTAGTGAGAAATGCTGAGTTCTCCATGTAGAAGGTTGGGTCTAGCTAATAGGGTGAGAATGGTGGTTGGTGTCAGGTGACTGAGATTGGAATGAGAGAAGTGTAGATCCATTTCCTTGTAGGGAGGTAATAGTATAATAGTACTCCAGAAGCAGAAGAGACCAGGCAGCATTAACAAAAAGAAGGGAAATTATTAAGCCTAGTGTGTTAGTCCGTTTTCACACTGCTGTAAAGAACTGCCCGAGACTGGGTAATTTATAAAGTAAAGAGTTTTAATTTACTTACAGTTTAGCGTAGTTGGGGAGGCCTCAGGAAACTTACGATCATGGCAGAAGGTGAAGGGGAAGCAAGGCACCCTTTTCACAAGGCTGCAGAAAGAAGTGCTGAGCAAAAGGGGGAAGACCCCTTTATAAAACCATCAGATCTTATGAGAACTCACTCACTATCACGAGAACAGTATGGGGGAAACCACGCCCATGATTCAGCTACCTCCACCTGGTCTCTCCCTTGACACGTGGTAATTACAGGGATTATGGGAATTACAATTCAAGATGAGATTTGAGTGGGAACACAAAGCCTAACTATATCACCTAGGGACCATCGATTTGACTTACACATCTCTCATGCTCGTACAAAAGATGTTTAATGCTTTTATTTAAATTACCTATTGATGTTCAACTCACTTTTTATACCTATCAGAGAAGGGCCACTTCAGCATCTTTACAACTATTCCTGTAAATGAATCTGCATAGCCCCGTGCTGTTCTGCTTAATAGTAGAACAGGACACTTCCACTAGGAGTTGGGTTATGTGCTCAGTAAATATTAGCTGAAGACGATTATTGTTATATGACAACATCTTGAGAAAACAGCAGTTCGTTGACAGCCTGTAACTCCAGAGACACCCATGCACCATAGGTTTGAAAGAAATCCATTCTGAGTGTTGTGAGGGACACAGTAACAAGCATTTAGGGTTGATAACTCAAGGGCTTATTTGTAAACCCGGTGGCGGGGGGTGGGGGGTGCTTTTGTTTGTTTCTGATTATAACTTTTCATATAACTTTGTCTTTTCCCCTTGTAGTTATGATGAGATGGCTAGGTTTGACCTTCCTGCAGTGATAAACTTTATTTTGCAGAAAACGGGCCAGGAAAAGATCTATTATGTTGGCTATTCACAGGGCACCACCATGGGTAGGTTCAAAGTAAAGCAGGTTTGTATACTCAGAAGAAATGTGAGCATATGATGCGAGCTATCCCTGAAATCAGTCACCTTGTGCTTCCTTCAGACCTGGTCTTGTCATCTTCAGATTCATGTAGTCCCCAGCAATGTGTCTAGCATATACACACATGTGCTAGATATAGCATATCTCTGTGCTGTATGTGTCTAGATATAGCATATCTCTCAATATAAACATTTTCTCAAAGCCAACATCGTTATATTCAATTATTTATTTAACTCATTGAGCACCTACTACTTGAAAGTAAATATGCTGGTGTCATAAGGACATTATAATTTTATAGGAGAGGTAAGATACAATCAAACACATAATTATTGAAATATCTTGTTAAAAGCAAAGTACACATTTTATGAGTTCTAAAAATATTCAGTATTTATGTTGACATATTTCTTCTTTTGTAGGCTTTATTGCATTTTCCACCATGCCAGAGCTGGCTCAGAAAATCAAAATGTATTTTGCTTTAGCACCCATAGCCACTGTTAAGCATGCAAAAAGCCCTGGGACCAAATTTTTGTTGCTGCCAGATATGATGATCAAGGTATGTGACTCCTCAGAAAATTTCCTGTGTACGTAGGAAAATCTTCTAGCCCAATTTCCTAAAACAGAAACTTTTAAAATTACATCTTTTCTGGCTGTCATGTAATGACTACTATGTCATTTCATATTTTTACAGGGATTGTTTGGCAAAAAAGAATTTCTGTATCAGACCAGATTTCTCAGACAGCTTGTTATTTACCTTTGTGGCCAGGTGATTCTTGATCAGATTTGTAGTAACGTCATGTTACTTCTGGGTGGATTCAACACCAACAATATGAATATGGTAAGTGGGAGCCTAGTAAATTCCCAGAATCCCAGCATAAAGCTGGGAGTCATATGGCTCACCCCTGGAGGGACAGTTAATGCCAGTGAAGACGCACAGTAATGATACATTCCCAGTAACTCAGTTCTCTCCAAACTGTAAGGAAATAAGGGAAATGCTTCAGTATGGACTGAAACAAGGTTCACATAAGGGCATTGCTAGATATTAAATCACAGATTATAGATGGAAGAGGTCTGAAAGCAGTTTTACTACAGTGAATTAAATTAAAAGGCGCGATTAGCACGTTAGACAACAGAGAGAACTGTCATGCATCATCCATCTCTACCCTCCACTGGGGTCCTGTAGGTTTGTAGTTTAAGTTCTTTGATGGAACATCAGGGACCTTTGTTTTGGCTTAGGCTACCAGTTGGTATCACTCGGTGGGTTCCCTAGGAAGCATACTCTGAGATGGAGATTAATGTGAACAATGATTTTGGTTCTGCTCTAGGGATAATACCTAGAGAAGGAAAAGAAACAAGATTAGGTAGATGAAAAAGTCAAGTAGTGATGCAGTCTCAATAGGAGCCTTCGTTGATCCTGCAGGGATTTGTGAAGATAGGATGACCCTTCAGAACCATCTCAAGTTAGGAAGAGAGGGCTGGGTCTTTATACACCACGTCAGTCATTTAATGTTGCCACACCAGTAACAGGGGAGCATTGGGCAGTGTATCTCCCTACAACTGGAGCAATCCTCAAAGCAGGCTGAGAGTGGAGGGCTGTTTGCCAGCAGCACTGCCAGCAGCTGGGGCAACATTTCTTTAATTCTGGAGATTTTTTCTTCTTTTTTAAGATTAATAATTTGATTTATAGTAACCATTTGATAAGCATATATTACATACCAGGCTAATTTGTAACCTATACCAAACCTATGAGTGTTATTAACATCCCCACTTTGCAGATTAGTATACTAAGATTTAGTGGATTAAATGACTCACCCAAATTCACCTAAAAATTAAACTGCAGAGCTAGGATTTGAATATAGGCCCCATACCAGAGCCCTCATCCTAAATATCACTAGTAAATTTTTTTTAAGTAGAGGCCAGATCTCTGATAAGAAACTATTCTCAGATGAAAAATACCAGTGTCTGGCAATACATTTAGTGACATTTTATTTATGTGCATGTACATATTTTTGTTTCATAGATAATTGCTGATAATTTAATAATGTTCCCATTTCTTAGTCTGACACCCAGGAGATTTGGTCTTGACAGGGTATACATCTTGTGAGTTTTTCTATGTCCCCCAAAATACTCATGCTTTGTTACAGAGCCGAGCAAATGTATATGTTGCCCACACTCTTGCTGGAACATCTGTGCAAAATATTCTACACTGGAGCCAGGTAAGAATGTTGAATTTGCAGTCTTTGCTAAATGTCCTTTCATATTTTGTGTAGAATAGTCAAAGGACACCCTTTAGATAGCCCAGGGATACTTCACACTTATTCTAAGATGAAATGCAATATCATCGATGCTATTTTGATGGAGAATTTGATCTAGATCATGAAACTTTTCAAGAAATGGGAAGAAAGGACAGAAGTAGCCTAAGGACTTCTTTAGATCTTAAAATTATTAATTTAGATGATCCAAGTGAGACTTCTATCTCTAAACACCTCAAAGATGTGGCTCGGGAGAATTATGTTTCTACATCTTCTCTTCAGCTCCTCCAACAATACAGTCGAGTAGAAACAAAAATGCTAATGTGGGGTCTGTCAAAAGAGATATTCACAGGAATCCTTCACACTGCAAACTTTACCTGCAATTACAGGAAACACACACCTCTGTGTGTCTATGTGGTGTCTGTGACAGACAGAGGGATGGGGGAAGGAGAGAGTTCTCTCTGTTGAAGGGTGGAGGGTAGGGGAGAGAGAGATAGAGAGAGAGAGAGACACTGAGAGAGAGAGCGAGAGAGCAATTGTACCATCAAAACCAGAGAAGAATTCTAAGTTGGATTAAATTTTGGTTGCTGTCTTCCAGGATCACTACATTGCACAATTCCAGGGCACGATGCCCCATTGTAGCCCACAGAGTTGTGGAGGGTACCCACTCACACTAATTACAATGAGTATGCACTTCCTGGAGTTGATAATGCAATGATTAAGAATTTATGTAGTCCCTCTTTCTTCTCAAAAGGCCTCATTCTTGTCTTACCATTTTCCTGAGACGCTTATTCCAATGTTGAACAGAAGAGCAGCTCAGCCTTTGCTCTCTGCTTCCCTCACGAGTGCACACTGGCTAGCACATTTCCACCACCAAACCACGCTTATCCACTGAGACATTGGAATACCTTGCAAATTTTTGTTTCCTTTTAGGCAGTGAATTCTGGTGAACTCCGGGCATTTGACTGGGGGAGCGAGACCAAAAATCTGGAAAAATGCAATCAGGTAAGAGAATCAAATACCATCTGCTGAAAATGTATACATTGGAAATGTATGACGGAGAAGTTATAATGACAGTTTATTCTAGATATGGGAATAAAATATGAAAATTTAAGCAGAAAATAATAGTTCATGTTTGACTCCATGTAAAAATGGTTAAGGTCACAGCTTAGCCAAGAAAACTCTCTGCTTTTACAACGGAGTAGGAGGCCTTTTTTGCTGAGGCTGTCTCCCTGAACAAGGTACTGGGCTTCTCAGGAGCAAGATGAAGTAGATTTAGTCAAGAGAAGAGTGTAGTCTATGGTAGATACTAGAAGGATTATTTTAGAATAAAACAAATGGGATGGTGGCAGTAAGTTTGTTTCATAGCACAGTAAAAAGAACATTAAATGGCAAGTCAGGATTGCTGTATAAGTTATGCTTCTGCACTATAAACTTCTGTAATAGGAGCTAGGCTGCTTTAATTTTTCAGGCTTCGATTTCTTTACCTTTAAAATAAAAATTTTGGGCTTAGAAAATCCATAAGCGTTCTCCCTGGTTATACTTTCAATGAATCTGTAATTTGCAAGTTAAATTTTTTTAAATGTTATACATTACCCAAGAAAATATGTAGCTAATGCTATGAATTAAAATTAGATTTCAAAGTGTGGAGATTCAGAATTGCGTAGGTATGCCCTTTAGAACGTAAAATCTTCTGAAGATTTTTGGTAATCATGTGTGTGAATGTCAATAAGTATTTGCCAGAGAAACAAAGCTGAAAGGGGCAGATTAGACACAGTTTAGTCTTTCTTTGAGAGCCTCACATCATAATATCCTCTGCCTTACATCGATCTAGATATAAAATGCTAGGAAACTGGACAAACTGTGCAGTGCCCCTGGATAGTGAGCTCTCAGTCTCTGGTATCAGCTGCTTCTCTTGAAGTCCTTCTTCACCGTGTCCCATAATATGTCTTTAGGGAAAGTATTCCTGTTCAAAGACTTTTTTTTTTTTTTAACATTTATTTATTTATTTATTTATTTTTGAGACAGAGTCTTGCTCTCTCACTCAAGCTGGAGAGCAGTGGTGCAGCCTCGGCTCACTGAAACCTCCACCTTCCAACTTTGAGCCATTCTTTTGCCTCAGCCTCCCAAGTAGCTGGGACTACAGGCGCACGCCACCACGCCCAGCTAATTTTTTTTTTTTTTTTTTTTTTTTTTTTTTGTACTTTTAGTAGGGATAGGGTTTCATCATGTTGGTCAGACTAGTCTCGAACCCCTGACCTCAAGTGATCCACCCACCTCGGCCTCCCAAAGTGCTGGGATTACAGACATGAGCCACTGTGCCTGGCCCTAAGATGGATTTAATTTGTCAACATTTAATGGACTGAGTTCTAGAGAAATTGATTCATGCAGAATAGGCACCAGAAAATGGGAGTGGAAGGGAAGAGAAAAGAAACTCACAAAAAAGTATCATAGAATCACAGAAACTCAGAGCGAGACATGACATTTAGTTCAATCTTTTCACTTGTAAGATGACAAAAAATATTACCCATAGAAGTTTTCAACCTTCCTTATCCAAATTAGGCCATAGCTCTAAATTCTTAAGGAGCCACAAAGAGAAACCAGAGCATCTAGGATTGGAGCTAAGACTCCATGGTGGATTTCCTTAGTAAGAAATGGGCCTTACCACTTTTGAGGAAAGTTCTGGATGCTGATTAATCTCAAGGGCTCAGCCGGCTGAGCTAATTCTACTAACACTGCATGAATACAGAAAGTACCTAGGAATTAGGAATACTAATAGGTATATTTGGTGGGGAAGGGTGAAGAATAAGGGTGGGAGCAGGTATTTAACTTTTACTTCCCTTTAGCTCAAATTACCTGTGTGCCATAGGCCATGGTTCTGGCAAATGCAGTCAAGCTGGGCCTGCCCCAAAGGCTGCCTGGGATCACATAAAGACTGTGAAGATGCAGAGCCCTTCCCAGCAGGTTCCTTGCTTTTCTCTGTGGAATATAATTCTTGTCTCACAAAATGTTTGTGAAATTATCTTTTAAAAGAACAGGAGAATTATTTTTAAATACAATTTATTTACAAAATAATAGGAAGAAAAAAGAAGTACAAGACATTACGTGTTTTTTGTGTTTTCTCATTTAATCTACAAGTTATTACAGATATTATCCCCAGTCACAGAGGAAGAAACCGAGGTTCAATAATGTTAAGTAATCTTACCTTTAAGTAAGGACGGCAACAGCAATTCTTAACAGAGTTGTGTGGCTCTGACACCCGTGTACCCTTCACCACAACAGATGGCATGTTTATTATGTCTATTTGAAACATAAATTATGTGTCTGAAAGTCCAAATGTCACCTACAGTTAAGAACTATTCCTTTTCTCTAGCCAACTCCTGTAAGGTACAGAGTCAGAGATATGACGGTCCCTACAGCAATGTGGACAGGAGGTCAGGATTGGCTTTCAAATCCAGAAGACGTGAAAATGCTGCTCTCCGAGGTGACCAACCTCATCTACCATAAGAATATTCCTGAATGGGCTCACGTGGATTTCATCTGGGGTTTGGATGCTCCTCACCGTATGTACAATGAAATCATCCATCTGATGCAGCAGGAGGAGACCAACCTTTCCCAGGGACGGTGTGAGGCCGTGTTGTGAAGCATCTGACACTGACAAGCTTAGGACAGCCTCATGAGGGATGGGGCTAGGACCCATGAAGGCAGAATTACAGAGGACAGAGACCTAGTATACATTTTTCAGATTCCCTGCACTTGGCACTAAATCTGACACTTAACGTTTACATTTTTTTTCAGTAAATTAAAGTCTTTATTGGGTAAATAGAGGTTTCACATGCTATTATATATTCTACCATCTTGAAGGGTAGTTTTAACTAACAGTCAGAAAGTATCTAGACATTCTCTATATCATTCAGGTAAATCTTTTTAAAACACTTTTTTTTTTTCTATAAGCCATATTTTTGGAGCACTAAAGTAAAATGACAAATTGGGACAGATATTGAGGTCTGGAGTCTCTTGATTATTGTTGACTTTGACAAAATAAGCTAGACATTTTCACCTTGTTGCCATAGAGACATAACACTACCTCAGGAAGCTGAGCTGCTTTAACAACAACAACAAAATCAGTGTTACAATATGGATGAAATATATGTTAAGCATTCTCAGAATAAGGCCAAGTTTTATAGTTGGATCTCAGGGAAGAAAATTTTATAGGATGTTTATGAGTTCTCCAATAAATGCACTCTGCATTACATAAAGCATGTATGTGCATTTCAGTGTCTAGATTCTAGTCCAAGCTTGTTGGAGGCTTTACAGCTTGTTGCTAGGAGACCTAATGGCTAGAAATTTCTGGCTCAATTTTCTGCCTCCAAAAATTAAAAGCTAGGGAGAAAATTGCATAATGTCATGAGCCTGATTAAACAAATTATCACACATTTTATCCTTTTATCTGGACAAAGTTAATGTCAGACAGTCACCACAACTCATTCACAAACCACAATTTATTTCTTCAGAAAATTATTCCACTTTTACACAATTTCAAAGATGACAGTTGTAAATAACATTGGTAGTATTTTGCAGAATCTCTGAAACAAAATCAAAGGTTTGTGTGTGTCAAAAGTATATTGTTGAAGGTATACTGGTGTGTAAAATTCACTTGTGTGGTTTTTTTTTGTCCCCAAGGGTCACGTGGTAGCTCAGCTCAATGCCAGTGAATCTTAATTTATTAAGACACATTTAAAGACTTCAGAATCTATATCTACACACTACTACTTCCTTCATAAAATAAGTTTCTTAAAGCCCTGTACACAGTTCAATATATATTGCTGGATTCAATTTTCATTAGAGCTTTCAAGGATAGTAAATCTTTCATTCTTAGACTGTACTTGTTACCACATACAGAGAAGCTGGCTTAGTCCCTGTCTGCAGCTATGTGAGATACAGTCTTGATTTTCAAAATTCAATCGTATTTTTAAGTGAGTTTATTTCTACTCTGTCTCATTCACAGAAGAAGTGGGACAGACATTTTGATATTCACAATCTCTTACTTAGACAAATAATCCAGATCCTACCTCATTATATAGCTCTGTTTCTTTTGAAGAACTTTATCCAAATAAGTTACAATAATATTTTACATTTATCAATAAAAGAGACAAAACTAACAAGCTTGGTAACCACCTTGTATTTACAAAAGGATCATGAAGATTTTTTTAAATGAACATTTGCATAGATAGTTGCACAGTCTTGCTCAAACCAAGATGGCTTTTATTTGTAAACCGAAATCTCTAGTGGTATGCTGGTAAACGAACTTTATGGAAAGCAAAAACAAACAAACAAACAAACAAAAACTCTGATTTGTCAATTTGCCAGTTTCTGTGGTGTAAACACACTCACCACTGATACTTGATAGATGTTTTTATTGAAATTGCTTCATCAAAGGAATATTTACACATGAATCTCTAAGCCCACACACATACACATACCATTCTATACAAACATATATATTTAATAATTTGATTCTTCTGCTCAGTACTCAAAGGGGGCTGGGAGGAACAGTTTGTCTCCTAGGGCATGACATAGACTGGACAGCCTTTTTATAAGAGTGATGCAACTGGGAAGAGAGAACGCTGTTTCAGAAGATAACGCTGATCCTCTTCTTCAGGAAAGACTGAGTTTGGAACACCACGGCTTTTTTTTTTTTTTTTTTTTTTTTTTGAGAGAGGGTCTTGCTGTGCTGCCCTGGCTGTTCTCAAACTGCTGAGTTCACCTCAGCCTCCCGAGTAGCTGGGGCTACAGGCATGTACCACTGTGCCTAGCTGAAACATCAGTTTCTGACTGAAGTGCAGACCACAACTTTAGTGTTTCCCTTAGAAGGATTATGGCCACGGTGAACTTGACTGAGTAAACAATGCTATAAATAAAAAGCTCTTCCAAAACATTAACCATGGTAAGCATCATTTTCCCCATAAAATGGTAGCATCCAGGTTAAGTGGCCCACAGACCAACAATCTAAAATGAAGATAGAATCCAGTCTTTAACTTTTTCTGTATCTCCATCGGTGTGGTCACAAGGATTACCATGCTTTCCTTAGCATTAATTCAATCTGGGAAAATTTTAATCTCCGTGCAATATCCAGTGAGCTCTCACCATGCTGAGGGGGGAAAAATACAGTTATTTCCAATAGAGTGCCCAAGATCTCATAAATAGCTTAGACTGATTGACTCTCTGGGTTGGCAAGGGCTTTAAAAGGTAGTCAGTCCTAATAGTAATAGGACAACTTCATTCCTTAATGAAGATGATTAATTTTACTGTTGTTTACATTAGAGGCAAATAATTTACTTCAACATAAGGCCTAGATTAGAAGATGCTGCTGCTAGAGGAACCTCAGACCACGGTCCACAGACCCTTACCTTATTCTTTATTGTGGGGTCTGCACGGGCTTCCAAGAGCAGAGGGATAAGAGACTGGTTTTTCATCTCACAGGCATAATGTAACGCAGTACAGCCATACTGAAACACAAAGGGCCAAAACTTCAGCTCATAAGTTGGGCTTTCGACAGACCATAGCATGTGGCTTCACTGGCAAATCCTTTTCACACTTTGTAGCATACAACTAAGCAGAAAAACAGTCTGCAAACCATTGATAGACAACTATTTCTAGTACTTAGAAAATTTTCTTCTCTGCCTCAATGTATATGTATGTGTCATCTAAGCCATCAATCTCTGCCTTTTTGTTTTTCATTTTCTGTTCTAAACTAAAGAATGCAACTTCTGAAAAGCTGATGCTGAATTGTGACAAGGTTTCTTTGCAGCATGCTATATGCCTCAGTGATCATCACTTTGATCATGTCACCATCTTTTCCCTTAAAGAGTCTCCACATACACCTTTACATAAATATTATCCTCTATGGTTTTGATGATGATTCCTACTGAAGAAGTCAGGTGCTCTTGATGCTGCAGGACACCTACAAGATCAGTGCAGTTCTACAGAGAAGTCTCCCAAATGTGATTTGTTACAGCTTTTATTATGTGTTATACGCTAGTGCATCTACTCTGTTGGTACTAATTTAAAACACTACAGGTCAAAAAAATAATAGCTAGGGCATTAGTGTCCAAACTTTGGCCTTTGGAAAAGGAGCCAAGCAACTATGGTGTTAATAAGTGAAGAAATAATATCTTTGGCTATCAAAACTAACAGAGTTAGCTCTGGATCCTATTCCCTACAAACACCTCTAAAATTATAGATCATGTTGCAATTATGTATTTTTATGAAGTGGTAGCATGACAAATGGAAGTTCTAGCTCTGAATTTTTTCATGTGAAATAGAGTCTAATTGCCCCAAAATACAAAACATTGTTTTACCTAGAAAGTAGATTTTAATATCCAGATGGTTTTTGAAACATTTTTGGTATTAGAAGTGGCGTCTGTGTGTGTACATGCATGTGTCTCAAACTCCTGAGTTCAAGTGATCCTCCCATCTCAGCCTTCCAAGTAGCTGGGACTACAGGCGAGTGCCACTGCGCCTAGCTAAAGCAATGCAGTATCTCTATCTAGAGAGAGATACACATAAATAGCTGGGAAAATATCCTAGAGAAATTTTGGTCACAGGTACGAATTTTAAATCTATTGAATTTAAATGAAAAGACCCAGAAAAACCTTCAACAAACTTTTAACTTCATCTTTAATAATCTCTTGCTTAATATATTTCAAAGTTATCTAAAGAAATGGTAATGCACCGTAGCTGTCAATACAAATTTATCCAAAAGTTCTATCTGAAATGAAAGGAAAATATATATTTCATAAAGTTATTTTTCTTGTGCTCTCTCTCTCTGTCTCTCTCTCTCTCTCTCACACACACACACACACACACGCACACACAGACAGACACACACCTGTCTGCATTTAAAGATGATACCAGCATAGGCAAAACCGAAATGATGTAAATAATTGATAGAAACAGGAATGGGGCCATGTTCTCTATTGTAAAACAATGGTAATACACACACAGATGTGCACACACATAAAATATGTTAGGCATCACAAATAGAATGTTAGTATTTTGGAAACAGATTTCCACTTGCCTACTTTTTCAATAAGGAACTGGGACTCCAAAATTTTGTGCAATCACCATAAGCAAAACACCATAGAAATAAACTTGTCGTCTTCCTGTGATCATTGAGTAAGGAAGACGAGTGCAAGAGTCCAGAGGTGAAAGTGAAAACAAGACCTTATGCTTATAAACAGGAAGAAGTGAGCGGATGCTGCTACTGTCGTTATCACTGCTCTTACCATCATTGGGATTTTTCTTTGACCTTTGTCTTATCTATCTTTCATTTACACATGGGGCCTCGCATCAGTGGGTTGGGATTTTGGCTACAGCGGCAGTTGTTGCCATTCAATGAGCACTTACTACATTCCAAGCATGTACGAAGTGCTTTACATGAACAAGCCCATTAAGATAAGTATTATCCATATCCCCATTTTACTGATGTGGATACTGAGAGTAAAACAAATTTACAACTTGCTCAAACTCATAGAAGTAAAAAGTCGCAAGCCCAGACTTACTCATGGGCTTTCTCACTCCAGCTTCTTAACTACTATGGCTAGTATTTTGTTATCAGAGCCTTCGTTTTCCTTAATGTCTCAACAACATTAAAGCCAATTCTTTTAAAAATGCTTTATAATCAATAGAGGTATTATTCCCATGAGTTCAGCAGAATATAAATAACCTCACGGTTGCCTGTCAGTGGAAAAAAAAGGAGAAAATAAAAGAAAACTAAATGTAAAATTGTCTAGGAAAATAAAGCAAGCAACTGTACAGATGATAAATACACTACCTACAAATACCATTTTGAATATTTTTTCAAAATGGCTAAAAGTATAAACTTACACAATCTGTAGCATTAACTTCGACACCAGCATCAAGTAGCATTCGTACAAGAGCCTCATTCTGCTTTGTCTTTGATACCTATTACAAATGGTAATTATAAGAAAGGTTTATTTACAAATAGTTTCTCCAATTTATGCCTGAGACTATTTAATTAGTAGACTGCATTTTAATCCCAACACTCCTATGCATGCATGCACCTTTCCTAAAATTTCCCCCAGCTTCTCACCCACCCCAATATCAATTAATTAAAGCCAGGTTCTCAGACTGTGGTCCTGAAGTAGCGGCATGGACACCTAAGAACCTTAGAAATGTATTTCTCAGGTCCCACCCCAAATTTACCTAATTCCACTGAGGATGCGGCCTAGTACCTGTCTTTCCCTTCCTGGCTCAAAGCTCTGCAATTACTTCCCATTGCTCTGAGAACAAAAGTAAACTCTTCAGCATGACCTACAAAGCCCCGTGTGTTTTGGCTCCACGCATGGCCCTGCCCTGGGCTCTCTCTCACTCTGCACCTCCTGGCTCACTCTGTTCGAGTTACATTGGCCTTTATTAGTCTTTCATTCCCACCAGGGTCTCTCTTGCCAGAGAATCATTGCACAGGAAGTTCCTTCTGCCTAGAAGTCTCCTCCCTCCATTCTTTGCTTGGCATGTTCACCTTTCATTCATCAGCCCAAGTCTCTCTTTCTCCAAGAAGTTTCCCTGACCCACCTGACCAGGTGAAATCCCTCTTTCTTAGCTATCCTAACACCAGTCGCCTTTCTGTATCACCTGCTTCAAGGTAATTTTACATGTGTTTGTGCCATTTGATTAATGACTCTCCCCACCACCCTCTAACTCTCATGGCGTCAAGAACTATGCCTATTTTGTTCATCATTGTGTCCCTAACAGCTAGCACAGCATCTGGCACATAGGAGGTCCGTAATAAACATGTGTTAAAGAATTGAAAAAATTAATGAAATGAACTAGGGCTCCTCAGAAATTCACTTTTCCTTCCCAGTACCCTGAGATTCTGACCACAAGCCTGTTGGAGTCTTCCCCAACTTCCAGTCTCCTGAAGAAGCAAAGCTCTCCCTGCTTATCTGGGTATAGCCCTGGAGTTCAACCCTGTCATCACCTGGGGAGCTCCATTCAGTAATTTCTCCTTAGGTTTCCCTCTTGTGTCACCTCCTAAACGACCTTTCTCAGCCTACTTTTCTCTGAAATAACCCAATGCTTTCTTGTCTCTTCCCCTATCATTTCCTCTCATGTCACTTATTTTTTAATTCATCACAAATTTACAACTTTAGGCCCCATTAATAAATTGCATGTACATGAAATTAGAGCTGAGCTATTCATTACGATTAGTATTTTTGCCCAGGCCTCCAGCCTCTAAACATTGAACCATCTTAGAAAGTAGAGTGTATGTCAATACATTCTGAATGAGCCTTCTAATCAAGTTGTAATTTTTATCTTTAGAATCTCTAAAAATGTTTGTAAATAAATGACAGATTCTCCCTGCCCCCAAACTACATATATTTAAATGCTATGAGCCAAATACACAATGAATTTTTAAAGAATTATTTGAGGATATGAGCAGATAATATTTTTATCAGTGAATTAAAGTTCTTTTCTCTCTCCTATAAATCCAAATATAAAAATCAACATTATTATGTTTAATTATAGTTCCTCAAATTCTGTAGCATTTAAATACCCAATGAAATAATAACATTTTTGATTGGCAGACTTGTTCGGTGGCTTATGTAAACAGGTGTAACCAATATTCGCAGTTTATCAGCTACAACAAGGAGAGAGCTTGGTCATTTAATTAGAGTAAATTATGCATCCCTTGAGTCATGTCTGAGAGTGAACTGGGCACAAAGGAAACCAGATGGATAAAAGTGAGTAAGTCAGTGCAGATCTGTTATCCTATTGGGAAAACTAAAACAAAAACCAGCTCAAACTTCATCTTCTACTCCTCATATGACTGAATCCCGATACCAACTACATCTTTCTTTACTCAAGAAAATTGCTGTCTGCCAAGATTCATCCAAGCATGAAGAAATTCATCAGGGTGAAAATGGGCTTAAATTCTCAACAAGTATCTTCTGTGTGTGTCAACTTCTGGATGCAAACTCTTAGGAGCTGTTTTTCAACACACCACCAGAGGAGTACTTAAAAATCAGAAAGTCAGATAGATAAATCCAAAAACACAAACTCCTCTTTAAGAAAAAAGGAGAAAAAAATATTAGAAGTGGTGTTTTTTAATACTCAGATTTTTTTTTTTGCTCCCTTCAGAGAAGTCTTAGTTAAGATTAAATTATTTTTCTAAATCGACGTTGAATGGATTAACTATTTTTGCTACCTTTCTTCTTGCTGTACTTCAATTACAGCACTGGATGTATGTTGAACATGTCAATTACAGAATACAAACCAAAGGCTTCTTTTGTTATTATTTCTTTTCAACATCTCACTGGCCTGGCAAGAGTCAGTGAGTCACACCATAGATCTCCACATTTACCCTTTGCTCTAACAAGTGTTGTACTCACCATGAGGAAATACCCAATAAGCAGAACAGGCATTAAGAGGATAATTAGTAGATAATCAATGAAGGTAAACTTTTTCTTCACAGCATAATGCAAGCAGGTTCTCTCTTTCTAAAAATTAAGAAAAGGATTCTTTACTAACAAAGCATTTCAAATCAAAATTTATTCAGATGGCCATCTCAAAAAGTTTACTTTGTGCTTTTTATTTTTCCGGTAGCCATGGCATCTTTTCCTGTGGGATACATCTGATTAATGAATGCATGTTTCCATGAAGCAGAACAGGGAACTTGGCCCAGTGTAAAGAAAAAGCTAGGGAAGGGCTCCTGGAAGATAACAAAGGTGAAATGTACACAGTAGAGCTCATCACAAGACAGATTCTCACGCCCATTTGGTTTCTGGAAAAAAGATACACTGAGATATAAACTTAGGACTGAATTTACTATGAAAATTGATAGTTATCCCTTAATCATCTACCGTGTATACGATTATCCATTTTGTGGTTTGTTCATAGGAAAACTCTTAACCACATGGCTATTTTTCATGTTCCTTCATGTGCGTAGTCTAGAAGAATGCATATAACTCAATTTTATTCTTCAAATATGTGAATATTTGTCAGGTAATAGACATAAGCTTCCAAGGGTTGTGGCACATGTGAACTCTTAGGGCCTCATAATCAAAGATGGACAGAGGCATGCACAAATAAATATAAGGCAAAATAGAAGATGGTAATTGGAATACCAACCAAATCAGTAAGAGGAGAGGGAGCGCGAGAGAAAGAAAGGAGGTTAGTTTCCACTTATGTGAGGCACTGTACCTAAATAAGAACACTTTTTGTTTTTCTAATATGAAGGCATTTATATTTTCTGTAAAAAATTTTAGAAACTAGAGAAGAATATAACAGTAGAATTTTAAGTTGCCCATTATTAAATGGCCCAGTGTTAACTGTTGACATTTTGTTGTATTTTCTTCCAGTCTTTTTAAATGCATAAATGTGGAATTTTGAAATGTGGAATTATATTGCATATGTAATATCATATCTTGCTTTTTTCAGTTTAGAAGTGTATATTTAGAATATGTACATTTTTCCATACAATTCAATATTTTTAAACATATGATTGTAATGGCTGCATGGCTTAATATTGAGTGGAACTACTCTGATTTATTTAGTCAAGCCCTGCCTTTTGAACATTTCAAGGTTTTTGAGGGATTTTTTTGTTTGTTTTTATTTTTCTGTGAGACAGGATCTTGCTCTGTCACCTAGGCAGTAGTGCAGTGGCACAATCCTAGCTCACTGCAGTCTCGACTTCCTGGGCTCAAGCGAACCTTCAACTTCAGCCTCCAAAGTAGCCAGGACTACAAGCATGTGCCAACACACCTGGATAATTTTTTACTTGTTATTATTTTGTGTAAAATGGGGGGGTCTCACTATGTTGCCTACACTGGTCTTGAACTCCTGATCTCAAACTATCCTTCCACTTTGGCCTCCCAAAGTGCTGGGGTTCCAGACATGAGCCACTGCACATGGACCGTTTCAAGTTCTTAACCTTTCATTTTTATAAATAATATTGCCTGAACCTGCTCATTCATAAAGTTTTGTCAATATTTCCAAATCTGTCCTTTGCATACATTTCTAAAAATAGAATTCCTGGCATAAAAGGTATTAATGCTTTTCATATTGTGCTACCAAATTGTGTTCTAACAAGACAATAATAACTTAAACTTTCTGATCAACATTTGTCTTCTTTTTTAATCTTGGTCATTTTGACAGACAAAAACCAGGATTTTTATGTTTTAATTTAATTGCTATCCATAGAATCCATGTTTTCTATAGGCTAGTGCTTCTGAACCACCAGCAGAGCTTTTTGTTTGTTTGTTTGTTTTTAAGGCCTTTGTTTAATGCTTCTGGAAATAATTTATAAACAGATTTCAGACATGAGAAATCACCGGTTGAAATTATTAATGTACAAAATTAATATTTGGAGAAAATAAAAATATTAAATGCTAATACATTAGAAACATTTGAAAGTGGAAAATGCAAACTGAAAACTTAATGTATCCACTAAAGTCTTTTTCATGATTTTTATGATATCAGAAAATCCCAGGAGGCTAGCTGAGGCCCTCCTCTTCTGCAAAGCAGAGATAAAAGCGTCTCCTCAGCTTTGCCCACGGGCTAACGTCTCCTCCCTCCATTTCCTAATAAGCGCATCTCTTAAAAGAGCGCAGGAACCCACAGACGTCTGTCCTCTGGCACTACCACTTACCGCAACTCCACATATCTGGTTTCACAGCAGTGATCTACAGAGATCCTATTATACTCTACGATGTCGTGTATCTATTCAATTCAGCACAGTCATGACTTGCTTTTAATCCCAACCAAACATAAAATAGTAAGCACAAATAAAAAAGTCCAATAGCGATCAATTTTCTGATAGTACATCGTTACTCCCAATGAGCTAGTCTCCAAATGACTCAGAAGAGGCAAGGGGGGAATTCCAGTGTTTTCTCGCCTTGAATGCATATGAGCGGGTACAGGACAGTCATAATGATTGCAAAAAAATGACTTTTAATATTTATTCAGTGTAATTTAAACATTGCCTTCACCATGATGCAAATGTTAGATGTTCAGAAAGGAAAGGGCTCCACAAGGATTTTCACAGCAATACACACATAATCTTCTCTTCCTTGGTCCTGAAGCCTCCAAAGTAGCTAATATTGCATCTTTAAATATATTGTTTACACCTTTTTGTGTGACTTCAAGTAACCTCTGGTTCATGAGCTTATTTGTCCTTGGTAAATTTCTCAATAGTACTCTTCATTCTACAAGCACACTATAGGATCCTCTGGAGATCAGGACATTAATACAGCAGGTAAAAATCTAGCTAATGAAACAGCATTTCTTTTCCAAGAAATCTTTGTCATTGCTTCTGTGTTAGTGACAAGAAAGAGGGGAGAGGGAGAAAGAGGAGGATGAAGAGAGGAAGAAGGAAAAGAAAGAAGCTCTATCCAGCCAAATGAGTGAACCAGAGGTAAAAAGACGTAATTTATCACAAATTATGCCTGCTGATTGAACTATGTTTTGTTTTGCTGTTTAGTCTAATAAAATGTCCTTGCTATGTGTCAGTCTCTCTAAAGTAAAGCTAAGATAATTTTTGGTATTAGGACCTACAAGCAATTTAAAAAATAACATGCACCACTTCTAGTGATTCAAGGAGAAAAGAATGACCATGAACAATTACACTCTCCTTTTGTGTCATGACCTCACCTGGTTTTTGAGGTTGACATTAGCATTTCTTCTTAAAAGGAAGGAAACGATTCTCATATGCCCTCGCCTGCAAGCACAGATCAGGGGAGTGTCTCCATTAAAGCCATCTTGAACATTGGCATAGCTGCTGTCTTCTTTCACCCACCGCCACACTTGTCCAAAATCATTCTGATAGGCCGCTTGGCAGATGGGCTGAGTCAGGAAAAACAAAAGCAGGTTTTGAAATACTGGCATAATTAAACAACAAAAAGGAAAAAAAAAGTCATAACCCAATACATTAAAATTTAAATGTTTTAAAATTGTAATATATTGCTTTGTAGGTGAGATTTTCTGGTCTCGGTTATGCCAAACCTTAAGTCTAGATCAAGAATTAGCCCATGAGGAATCTCCTACATTTTCCGAAGTTTTCTTGGCACACACTTATGCCCATCAAATAGACAAATGGATGAATAAATAATGAAATACTACAAATTCAACTCAGTAAGTAAACTATGTATAGTGTTTACAGGTAGGTGGGCCTGTCAGAAAAAACAGACATTTTCTTTACTAAAGGTAAAATACCTTTATCTTTATCTTCACTAAAGATGAAATACCTTTATCTTTATCTTTACTAAAGATGAAATACCTTTATCTTTATCTTTACTAAAGATGAAATACCTTTATCTTTACTAAAGATGAAATACCTTTATCTTTTCCATCTTTATAAAAGATGAAATGAAAACAAGCATATGAGGAGGAGTTTGGGGTAACAGCACACTAAAGATGAAATACCTTTATCTTTATCTTTACTAAAGATGAAATAGAAAACAAGCATATGGGGAGGAGTTTAGGGCAGCACTAGTGATGAAATAAGACCTACATCGCACCCTGTACTCAAGGAGCTCAACAGAGCAGAAAAGACAGTTTTTTAAGGCAAATAATATACAAATAACAAATTATATGATTAACTACACTTGATTAGATGCCGTTTATAAAAACCATTATGCAGAGCTTCACAAGGCACCATGGGAGTTTAATAACAAGACTTCAGGGAGCGTTATCTCGTCTTCTTTCCCTCCTCTGGTCCAGCCTTCCTTGACTTCTGCTCTTCAAAGTTTGGTTGAACCAAACCATGTTTGGTACCTTCCATCTGGGCCTCTGCCCTGAATACTCCCTCTGCATAAAACATACCCCCTGCCCTTCCTCTGAATAACACCTAGCTCACCCTTGGTGTCATAACTTAATTTTCATTTTATCCAACAAGTCTTTTCTTACTCCCAACATTCAGTATCTCTCCCTCACAGCAACTGACATAACCGTAACTCTTTTCTTAATTATGTACAATCATGTATTTTAGGCTAGCATGAATCAGGAGAGGTTTGAGGCAGTGCTGAGAATGAAGGCACTGAAGTTCAGGCTGTAAACCCCATTTGATTCACCGCTGTTTCCCCAGCATTCAACACAGCATTCGGCACATGGGAGGCAAACACTAAATATTTTTAGATTAATCTTCTTTACATGATGTGTTTCAAAAAGCATTTAGAGTAATACCTGGCATACGGATGGTGCTTAATGTATGAAAGTTATCATTATTGTTACTGTCATTCTTTAATAATCAAGTCAAATCCCTACTGTGTTCCAGTCGCAGGTACCAGAGAATAAAGAGTATAAAATATGTCATCTTACCCATGTAAAATGTATCTGTCAAGTGGGGAAATAGGACAGAGACACTCACACGCAGAGTAAATGACAAGAAAAAAAACTTTTGGTATGGGTAGGTACATAAGCACCTGTGGAAATTGGGACATATCAAGGGGAAAGTCAAGTGGGTGTATTTGCTAATAAATTGAGGTTCTAACATAGCCAAATATCACAATAAGTGGACTATAATATACCTTTAAACCTAAAGGCCTACTCATGAAAGAAACATCCTAACAGAAAATTAACTCAGCAGCAATTAAAGGCAAACTTCTGTACCTTAAAAATGAAATGAACATGATACATGGGCTTTAAGTTTCAATAGAAATGCACAATTACACAAATCCCCTGTTCTGTCATCCTGAAGTCTTCCCTTTACTAAGCTTTCCAACAGGTGGGCACTTCAGTGTCTCAGCATACTGTATGGCTGATGTAGAAAGGACTGGGGCAGTTGAAACACTTGTCTCGTGTCAGAAAAACAGGATGTAATTGCAGCTCTGTTACTACCTCCCCCGGTGACTGTGGACAATTCACTTCCCTACTCTATCTCAGTGTCCTCGGTCATTAAATGAAGGAATAAGTCAGAAGTTCCCTTGGGTTTTCATATTCTATTACTTCTGGGACTCTAGTCTCAACCAACAAATCTTCCACATCACTGCTGGAGTCTAGGGTTATGTCAACACAACAGTGCTTTAATAAAACCTTCAGTGACTTGCCATTGTCCTAGCAGCAATGCCCTGTCATTTGGATTTCAAAAATAAGTGAAACAAAACTAAATGCAACAAGACAGTGTTAAGTCACCAACTCTTAATTTTTCCAATTAAATGTATTTAAAACAATACTTTTATTTCATAAAAGATATTTGAACAAATACAAAGATAAATGAAGGAGATTTTAACAAAATATGTAAGAATATAATCACCAGAGGGGAAAGCAGTTCCTTATATTGGATAGGTTTAGTTAGCTTTATAGAAAAATTCATTTTATTGTCCTTTTAAAAGATTTTACCATAAACTAGTGGAAATTTAATAATGGAGTGATTAGCAGTGGCCACTATTAGCATTTGAAAATTGATGGTCTACCATGAAGAGCTTGAAAACAAGTGGCATTAGAGCTCTCGTTCTCTTTTCTTAAATATTTACATTACTTAACAACATTTTAAAACCTAGAATATTTCATGTAGTAATCTGGCTTTCCAGCTTCTCTTTAAAAATGGAAACTTTTGGGTGGGCGCAATGGCTTACGCCTGCAATCCTAGCACTTTGGGAGGCCGAGATGGGTGGATCACCTGAGGTCAGGAGTTCAAGATCAGCCTGGCCAACATGGAGAAACCCCATCCCTACTAAAAATAAAAAAATATTTAAAAAAATAGCAGGGTGTGGTGGCTGGTGCTATAATTCCAGCTACTCGGGAGGCTGAGGCAGGAGAATCACTTGATTTGGCAGTGATCCAAGATCGTGCCACTTCACTCCAGCCTGGGCGAAAGAGCAAAACTCTGTCTCCAAAAAAAAGAAAGAAAGAAAGAAAGAAAGAAAGAAAGAAAGAAAGAAAGAAAGAAAGAAAGAAAGAAAGAAACCCCATCCCTACTAAAAATAAAAATATTTAAAAATAGCAGGGTGTGGTGGCTGGTGCTATAATTCCAGCTACTCGGGAGGCTGAGGCAGGAGAATCACTTGACGGCAGTGATCCAAGATCGCGCTACCACTCCAGCCCAAGCAAAGAGCAAAACTCTGTCTCCAAAAAAAAAGTTGTTGTTGTTGTTGTTGTTGTTGTTGTTGTTGTTGTTGTTAAAAAGAAAGAAAGAAAGAAAGAAAGAAAGAAAGAAAGAAAGAAAGAAAGAAAAAAGAAAGTTTTGCTGACATTGGACCCATATTCCTGTAGGATACCAAATAACTGGTGCTTAGTGGCAGTGACTCCAGTTCTCCATAGTCCCCTCCACTCGCCATCACATTACACTGGTTCACTTCACTCATCTATGTTACCCTCCTGGTAACATAGACCTCCAGGAGCTCTCTGCTTAGGCTTCTCAAAATCTTTGCTAAGAGCTAACTAAAAAGAAGAAGAGAAAAAGATGGGGAGTTGTTCTGCAAGAGTCGCTCAGTGCTTTTGAGGGCTTTCTCAACCCAATTTGAGCAATATTACATAAAATACTAACCCTGTCTTATCTTTAGTCTTTCTTAGGCTTCCTAGATCCAAGACACAGAGTTACCAGGAAGCTAAGTGTCTCCCTTCTCAGTTGAGATGTACAAGTACAGTCATGCTTCACTTCACGACAGGGATACGTTCTGAGAAATGTGTTGTTAGGTGATTTTGTCATTGTGGGGATATCATAGAGTGTACTTACACAAACCTAGATGGTAGAGCCTATTACTAATATGGTATACCCTGTGGCTCCTAGGCTAAAAACCTATACAGCATGTCACTGTACAGAATACGGTAGGCAGTTGTAACACAATTGTAAGTATTTGTGCATCTAAACATAGGTGAACATATAAAAATACACAGTAAAAATATAGTGTAAAAGATAAAATGGTACACCTGTGTGGAGCAGCTCCATCATAATCTTACAGGAACACCGCTGTACATGCTGTTCATCACTGACTGTGAGCTCATGTGGTACGTGACTATAATTTAATGTGAGAGTCGCACTAACAGCTGAAAAGACTCCATGCTGTTATGAACTTTCGGTTTCCACTAGGGAGCAGCACAGCGTAAGAAAAGCACTGACAGCGGACAGAAGGGAAGTCCAATAGAAAGTGCGGGTTGACAAGCCAGAAATGAAAAAGAGAAAGGACTGTCCATTTGGGTTGCTGGAAAAGCTATCATAAACCCCTTTTAACTCCTTAAGCTCTGGAATTTGGGGGCACCCTGGGTGTAGAAGAAACACACTTGGGAAATTATTATAATAACTCTATCCCCTAATAGTCTCAGAACCCTTCTGTCCATCCTCACTGCTAAAGTGCTACTTCAGATCTTCATCATTCTCACCAAGACCACTGCACACAATTCTTTCAATCTCAAGTATCCCATATGCCATTTTTCCAGCTTCATCTCCTACCACTGTCTTATCCACACCCTTGATCTAAATAAAGGTATGTGTGTTATTAACAACCATCTCCCCAGCTAGACTGTAAGCTATATAAGGGCACTGTGGCTACATGAGGCTACATTGTGTCTGTACTGATTCATCATTGTACCCCCAGTATCTAACATAGTGCCTGACGCATGGTAGGCATTCAATATGTACTTAGTAAGTAAATAAGAGAAGGAAGAAATTATAAGATGAGTTAACAGTTATTGAGTAACTCATTTATTCTACTTTAATCCTCACAACAACCCTATAAAGTAGCATTAATATACCTATTTTGCACAAATGAAACTAAGGGAAATTGTCTTCCTTGCCAAAAGTGACATAGTTCACAACTGACATGGCCAAGAGTCAAATCAAGGGGAATGACTGAGGATGCATACATTCTATCTCCAATTACTTCAGTCTTGAAAATAAGCCTTCAAAA